ATATAACATTGTTATATGCCTTCAAGTCACTTCTACCTTACGGCAACTCTAGGGCAAAGCTATCCTCATGTTTTCTAGACTTGTATTTTTAAGCTTGGAAATATATCTCAGGGCTCATCTCAACTATGATCTTCAAACTTCTCTGACTCAGATTAAAATTTTCCTCTTAGACTACTCCCATTCAGACAAGTCCCCTGGAAAACATTTAGCAACATGCAAGGCGTCCAATTTGCCATATTTTGCCAGTGCCATGCCGCCCCATAAATGGGAGGAATGAACACACAAAGGGCAGGAGATGATAATGTTCTGAAACTGGGTTGGCTCAGAAATAAATTTCCCATTTTGACATAAACTATAGATCACTTAGGTTTTTTTAAAAATTTGTGAAAGCTCCAACTCAGTCACATATCATCTGCAAAAAAGGCTGGATTCCAAAAGTGTGTTGCATCATCCTCTCATTTAAGCAGATATACGACATATTTAAAAGGCAAAATCATTAGGATTTCAAAATAGGATTGGCTCAGAACCACTATTTTGTTCGCAGAAGAAATATATGATAACTATATGCTGGTGAAATATATGATAAATGAAGCAAATAAATTGCTTCATCTGATTTTGGCAAAGGATGAAGTACTGCACTAATCATGGGCCACTGTTACATTTAAAAAAAAAAGGAGTTGATAACATAAAGGTAACGGTAAAAGTATTCTCCATTGACAAGGTTGTCAAGTCATGTCTGACCATAGGGGGCGATGCTCATCTCCATTACTTAGCCGAAGAGCCAGCGCTGTCAGAGACTTCTCTGTGATCACATGGCCAGCATGATTGCACAGAGCGATGTTTACCTTCCCACCAAAGTGGTACCTATTTATCTATTTGCATTTGTATGCTTTCGAGCTGCTAGGTTGGCAGAAGCTGGGACTAGTGACAGGAGTTCACCCCATCATGCAGCACCTAGGCCTCAAAATGCCAACCTGCCGATCTTGCAATCAACAGAGTCAGTGTCTCAACAACTTGAGCCACTGTATCCTATATGATAACATATTTTACATCTAAAATGAATCAATTTCATGCTGTAATTTATTCTTCTAATCTAAATTTATGTACCTTTTTCTGTAAATATTATTCCATATATATTTGAGATACAACATGTTGTGCTAAGTCTGTTGACTGGAAATAAAGGTTGACATTGACATAAGTTACATGAGAAGAAACTGGTATTCATTGCCACTGAATGCTATGGTTAGGTGTCTTTGTAATAAAAGAGACCCGTTCAAGTTCATGGATAGCCATGACAGGCTAAATAGAATTCCCATGGTCAGAGGAGGAGACACAGGAGGTCTAGAGCTTATATGGTTGCCCAGGGGACACTCGGTTGGCCACAAATGGGGATGCTTACCTACATGGTCTGGGTCAACAGCTTCTTACATCATCACCATCATCACCATCATCCTGTAACATATAGTAGGCCCTTGGTATCTGCTGGGGTATGGCTCTAGGACCACCCATGGATACAAAAATCTGTGGATACTCAAGTCCCATTAAACGAAATGGTGTCCCTTTTTGGAATTTATAACTTTTTGGAATATTTTCAAACCATGGATGATTGAATCCATGGATAAACAATCCGTGGATATGGTCGACCAACTGTACTTTTATGTCACCTACCTTTCCACCATTTAGTCTTTAAAATAACTTGCATAAAAACATCTACACAAAAGTTGTTCTCCATTTCAGGAGGGGTTGATGTGGTTAGGGAAGACTTCCCACCTGAACTACAATAAAGCAGCGAACTCTCTTTACAAGAGATGTGGAGGTTAATTCTGGTGGCCGATGCTAATAAGCAAACAACTTATAGCATCAGCACCTCCAGAAGCTCCCACCAACAGATCAACCCAAGATTGGAAGAGGATATCTAGGTTTGGAAGTGAAACCCACACAGCTCTTCTTATATTAAGCCCACTTAATGGCAAATTGGTAAAAGATCTACGACTTCATTTTACTAATAATCCCTAGTGGCTAGTCAAGCAGACTCAACTCCCTAATGACACCGAAGCCACTACAACCCCCAGCTAATAATAATCACCTTTCTTGTAATCCATACAATGTGCTTTATCTCCAGAATAATCTAACAACCTATCTGAAGCAGGGTCTAGGCTGCATCCACACTGCAGAAATAATCCACTTTGACACCACTTTAATTGCCATGGCTCAATGCTATGGCATCCTGGGAAGTGTAGTTTGTTGTGGCCCCAGGGATGATTTTTGCACTGTGGATGCAGCCCTAGTTATTCACAAAAGCCATACTTTTCTCAACCAAAACCTGAAGGCTCAGAGAGGGTGATGGCAGCATTCACACAAAGGCTGGGGGCACTCTGTGCACTTGAGCCCCCAACCTTTCCCTGAATCTTTTTCAAAGTGTAGTGATTTAATGGATCACTGATTTGATGGGTCTACTCTAGGTAGAACTCAATTGGATTTAAGATTGTAAATCCACATTCCATACATTTTTCAATTTTGTAAACAGTGCACAGCAGACTGACAAAGACATATCAATCTACATGCCTAATTTCAGGAACAGAAACAAGTACGGTAATCAGACCTGAATTAAAGTTCCTAACATTGAAAACAGTGATCTCTTCGATGGTATATTATCACATACATATTGTAGTACATTGTAGAGACAATGTGTCACATTTGTAAACATAATACTCTAGCTATCATCCCAAGTGCAATCAGAAATTTCAGAAATTCTTAGTAAGTTCTAAATATGGATCTGAATCTCATTTTTATTTTTGGCGGACTTTGGAAAAAGGTAAGTTAAACATTGAGATAAACTTCTCTTCCTTTCACAAGTCACTTTATTTCTCAATTTGGTGGGTTTCTAAATGTGGAGTAGTTAATTTTACTCCTGCGTAAGCTGGAGAGATCTGAAGCAAGCGTGATGCATACCTACAGCATCTGTAAGAATTTTCATTCTCTACTGAGTCTTCATTACAACATATTTTGAATTACCAAAACGTTGCCTTAAAAAGCATTTTACTCATTGCAAAACAGAACATATTTCAGAGATTCCATGTTTCATATTTCAGTGTCTCTAAAGCTTCCTCTTCTTTTTTTGTTCAGAAAGCAAAAACATTATTTGGGTATGGGGATGCTTTTCCTTCCAGGCTTTTGTATCTCTGTAGCAAAGACTGTGATTATTTTGCCGATCAGTTTAATAAGTAACAGGCTGCATATTTAATGAAATGTTATACTCCACCCCAGTCCATTCACTCTCTCAATACAGTTTGCTTAATTTTCTATTAACAGATTAAAAGGATAACTGGTAGGCTCCAAAAGTTCTGGCTTGGGAGACAAACTTACTTTTAATAGTCAACAAGATCCTCTTGCTTCTATTCCACAAAAGCAAAGAGTCAACATTTCTCCTTCTACTTGTTACCTTGCCCACATCCTTGGGTTTACCTTCTTCCACAGAGACTAGAAGATATCAGACATTCAGGGAGTAGCCAGCCATATAAACCAAAACTGGCTGCTGGAAGTAGAAGGTGTGTTGGGACTTGGCCTGCTGTTTCCTTTTGATCAATGTGGACAGCCCCTTAGGTTACTTAAAATTTATTTTCTGGATGAGTAGCCAAGGACTGTAGTCAAATGAAAATATTCTTACTTTATACAAGGGGATGCTGAAAAGCTCTCAGCCTGAACCACTTCCCAAAATCTGAGCATAATTTTGTGACTGTAGCTTGACAGAGTGTTCTTTTGTATTGTAAACTACCAATTTACAGGATCATAGCTCTGATTTCTGAATCTTTTGAGATCACTGATAGAACCATGTCAACAAAAAGTGTGGAATTTTCAAGTGCTGAACTCTGGGCCATCATGAAGTTCCTGTTCTTAAAGAAGAAAACTCCAGAAAACTCCAAAGGAAATCCATGAGCATATTATGCAGACACTGAGTGCTAAGTGTCCATCATACTCAACTGTGAAGAAGGGGTGTGTCAACTTTCAGCATGGAGATTTTGAGACCAAGGATGCAGCAAGATTTTGGCGGACTGGTGAATCTCAAGCTAAAACAATTGCTGAGACACTAGAGATATTTCGGGAATGCATTGGGTTTGTAATTCATGAGCAGTTGGCTATACAGAGGCTATCAGTCAAATGGGTGTCAATATGTTTGAAGGCTGACCAGAAACTAAACTGAGTGGATACCTCCAAGTTGATTTTGCAGAATTTTGAGTGATCAAGTGATAATTTTTGGAACACATCGTCCTTATTGATGAAACATGGTTACATCATTATGATCTGGAAACTAAACAACAGTTCTTGTGGTGGAGGCACTCAGGTTCTCCACAGCTGAACAAATTCAAGACTCAAAGTCCAGCTAGAAAGGTCATGGCCACAGTTAAGGAAAGTATTTGGATGACTATCTTCAGAAGGACCAAACAGTTAAGGGAGAATATTAGCCTAACTTGCTGTGCTGATTAAAGGAGGCACTGAAGAAAAAATAGAGAGGGAAGCTAGAGAAAGGTGTTCTCTTTTTGCAGGACAATGCATCTGCTCACAGGGCTGGAAAGACAATGGATTTCTGAAGAATTTGGGGTTTGAGTGCATAGATCGTGCACCCTACTCAACAGATCTTGCTTCATTTGCCCATTTCCAGTTTCCAAACCTTAAAAAGGTTAAAAGGAAATAAACTGCCAAATGCTTCAGAGATGATAACAGCACAACAGAGCAGTATTTCAGTGACCAGACATCAGAAATTTCTTTTGGAAAGGTTAAAGAAATTTAAATGATGTGCCAAGTGTACTGTACTTTGGGGTGAATATGTGGAATACCATGTAAGTTTCATGGTTCCAGGTCATTCCCTTCTTGGCCGGGCTGAGAACCTTTCAGCATCACCTCGTATGTATCTTATGTACTGTACTACATTTTGCAATGGTCTATGGTTGCAATCACTTATTACCTGCCTTGTAGAAAAGTCACCTCTCTGTTGGGAGGCTTTTCCTGCAGCTCAGTGGTTTGAGTGTGTGGGACTATGACTCTGGAGACCAGGGTTCAATTCCCAGCTTGGACATTAAACTCACTGAGTGACCCGTTACATGCCAGTTACACTCTCTGAGCCTCAGGGGAAGGCAATGGCAAGACCTCCTTTGAACAAAATTACTAAGATAGGTTTGCCTTAGAGTTGCCATAAGTCAGACACGACTTGAAGGCACACAACAACAAGAAGAAACAATAGTGAATGTGTAGGCATCACTATTGAACCCTTGGGATCTATACCCTAAAGGTAAAGGTAAAGATTTTCCCTTGACAAGATTTGTCTAGTCGTGACTGATTGAAGGGGGTGGTGCTCATCTTCATTACTAAGCCAAAGAGCCAGCATTGCCAGAGACTACTCTGTGATCATGTGGCCAGCATGATTTCACAGAATGCTGTTAACCTCCCACCAAAGTGGTACCTATTTATCTACTTGCATTTTTATATGCTTTTGAACTGCCAGGTTGGCAGAAGCTAGGACTAGTGATGGGAGCTCACTCCATCATGTGACACTTAGACCTTGAACTGCTGATCTGCTGATCTTGCAATTGTCAGAATCAGCATCTTAACCACTGAGCCACTGGGTCCCATGTCTATCCTATAGCCCCTAAAAATAATTTTTCTCAGCTCTGCTGAGAACTGACATGGCTATAGTCTAAAAACAGTCAGCACATCATAACACTAGAACAACATTTGCAGAAGAACATCACAGTACTTAAAAAAAAAACCTCTGGCAACCAACATGGACTCTGAATGACAGTAAACTCTATCCCTAAATTTGAACCATGGAATTTTACCACAAAAGCCAAACAACAGATAATATACCATAAGACAAATAGCACAAGAGGCAAATAAAATAGCTCTGTGTGTCATTGTTTTCGTCAAGGAGTGTACATTTCGTCTTGCTCAGAGAACATCCATATAAATATTAACTTCACTAATGGAGGGCTTTCTTCCCTCCTCTTCGTTTAGATTATCAAAATCTGTTTACACTTGCTGGAATCCCAAAAACCCACTTAAGGCAAACAAAAAGCCTCTACCCAAGAGCACTAGCAGTACATCCAACATCATCATCTGGAATGTCACCAACACACTCCTTGTTGCTCAGACTCTGCCACTCCATCATCATGGCCCCAGATGTTCGGTACCCACATACCCATCAATGTTTTAAAAGCAGTACTTCCCAGTTTCTGCTTTTGCAGGGGTTTTGGAAATTCTTAAAAGAAGGGGAGCTAAAATTTGTGGGTGAAGACAGTACAGGAGGTCAGAAAATTAGAATACTATTCTCATAGCAGTCTAGGGAAAGAAAAAAATACTAGCCTTCTACCAGATTGGCTGGATGAGGAGGAACACAGCTGAGGATGAGCATCTACTCTACTTCTGTTGTCTTGAAAACACAGCTGCTAAAGAAATGGGTCTGTAAATATTTATGTTGTATTTGTCCACGCAGAAGGACAGCTGCTACCGCAGAGCATATTGCTGTAGAGTAGATCAATACTGTCTCCAAAATGCTCCCCATCAGAGGTCTCCAGTGGCATGACATTTGTCCCAGGCTGGCATCTTGTCCTCTTTCCCCATTCATTTAAATATTGGCTATAATTTGATGCCTGCTAATTTCATGAGACTCTCGTCATGGACATGAGAGGAATACCAGTCTCTTTTCAGTGTATAGTTTTAAGCCATGCTATGAAACAAGGGGAGGCAACATTGGGAGCATAACCTGTTGCTGTTGTTAAATGCTCTTGAGTCAACCTCCATTCCTGGAGACCCTGTAGATGAGATATCTCCAAGACCCCCAATCCACTACCACTTTGCTCAGGTCCTGCAGGATCAGGCCTGTGGCTCCTCTGATTAAGCCTAATCATCTGGCATGCTATTTTCCTCTCTTTGTACTGACTTCTGCCTTTCCTGGCATCACTGTCTTTTCTAATAATTCATGCCTTCTCATGATCTGGCCAAGTATGACAGCCTCAGTTTAGTTATCCTGGCTTTGAGAGAGAGAGTTTGGGCTTGATCTGTTCTAAGACCCATTTGTTTGCCTTTTTAGCCTTATCCTTAGCACTCTTCTCCAGCACCATATCTCAAATGAGTTGATTTCTATCGGCTTTCTTCACTGTCCAGCTCTCACACCCATACATTGTGATGGGGAATACAATGGTTTGGACCCTGCTGGGGTAGTTTAGATTTCTGGATGTCGCAATTTAAATGTCTAAGTAGAGCCAGTGTGGCATAGTGTTTTGGGTGTTGGGCTATAACTCTACAGAGACCAAGGTTCAATTCTCAGCTTGGACATGAAACCCACTGGGTGACCTTAGGCAAGTCACATTCTCTTGGCCTCAGGGGAAGGCAATGGCAAACCTCCTCTGAACAAATTTTGCCAAGAAAACCCCATGATAGGAAACAACTTGAAGGCACACAACAACAACAACAACAAAGTCCCAAATAATTCCAATAAAATCCAGTTGGGATTAAATTTACCTTATATAACCTTCACCAGTTTAATCAGCATTCCCGAGTTTGATTGCTCCCACACACTCTGGACTAAGACTCAGGAAGCATAACTAATGGGTATGGATCTCAGGTGTTGCAGATCAAGACATCTGGAAGGACCCAAGTTGGGAAAGGAAAACCTAAATTCACAGCCTGACAGCACACATTACCAAGTATGAATTTAACATACGGTAATGTCATTTTCCAATGTAAAAATACTGTAGTGATAGCAATTTAACAGATTTTGCACTATTTATTCTAAAATAGTTCTCACAAACACTAATATGAAGATGTTTAAGACTGCAGCCCAAAAAAAATATACCAGAAACAAATAAGCATGTAAATCCAAAGGTTTATGAAAGCCAGAGGGGTAAAAATAAGAGGAAACAGTTTTTAATAGAAGAAGCACAGAGGAGCAAGACAAAAAAAAAAAAAAAAAAAAAAAAAAAATCAAGGTGGTTTTGGCTTGCTGCATTTCACACTTTACAATCCTTCTCTCAATATTTTCCTCTTAATTTCTTTAAATAGTCCTCTTTTTCCCATTCCCTTTGACCTCTTAAACCAAGTGGGACACTGGGAAAGCTTTATTCTCACCCCTTTAGACCAGCTGCCTATATTTCTCTCTTGTTACTGTTATGATTGGCATACTTCTATTCTTTTTTAGAATTAACCACAAGCCTCAGCAAAACTGGAAGTAAGCATTATTCTCTCCCCCTCTCCATACAAAAATGTTTATTTTATAAATATTTTTCCTAGTTACTTTTATTTTAAAGTTGCAGTACAGCGAAACAGTTGAAATCTCATTTACAGAACATACTGCACCTACATTTCGATTCACAGTGGTATTGTGATGTGGGATCTACTCCCAAGTAAGTCTATCCAGATCCTGTTTGATCTTGGAAGCCTAGCAGGGTCAGGCCTAGTTAGTACTTGGATGGGAGACTGTCAACGAATACCAGATGCTATAGGCTATATTTCATGGGACAGAACTGGCAAAACCACCTCTGAATATAGTAAGACCTCCTTAGTAGTGGGGAATATATTCCAAGACATTCAGCGGATACCTAAAATTGTGGATAGTATGAAACTCTATTTTTTTAAATGAGGTGAATGATATAGGTGTGACATCAGAAGGTCAATTGTAGCCTAACGCTACACCAGAATGTCATAGCGCTAGGCTACTATTGACCTTGCGATGATATATCAGAAGGAGGATCATCTGCTTCGGATGATCTTGGATCATCATGCGATGACAACGTTGATGTCAGGAGCATATGATGTTGATGGTTTGGGATCCTTGATATTGGAGGGGTTTTGCCAAGACCTTTGGAAGAATACTGTAATCGGATATTTTTGTCTCTTTCTTTTTAACTGATCAAAGTGTTGCTGCAGAGGTAGCAATCCTTTGATGATCATATAAGTGACTTTAATGCAGCACTTCATCCAAGGACTGTATTCCATAATTTAATATGTGTGCAATTCAAAACACTTTGGCAATTTTTTTAATGTCCACACTGCTGGTTCTGCTTCAGCTTCTTCTTCTTCCTCTTCAAGTAACTTAACAAATTCTTCCAATTCCTCAGCAAAACTAGCATACATTTATTTTCCTTTCTCTCAATTTCACTGATAGAAGATTTGCTGTTACCATAGATCTTAGCAACTTCAGCATATGATTTTTTTTCTTTCCTTATTATGTCAAAAACTTTCATCTTTTTGCTCAAAGAAAACACTTCACACTTTCTCTTTGACATACCCAGATTGCCAGCATCATTACTCTTGCATTTTGGGACCATTATTAAGTAAAATAAAAACACAAACACTGCTATACCACAACAGTCAATCTGATAACTGTGATAGATACAGTACAGTACAGTACAGTACAGTACTATATTAAGTGACTAACACGTGAATAGTATAAACAGGTTGGAAATCCAAAACAGCTTGAGATTTCATCTTGCTACTCAGAACAGTGCGCAATTTTTTGGAATTTCCCATTTTATATTTCCATTTATTATTTCCATTTCCACAGAATTACTGCCAGCTAGTGTGAGCAAGAGAATTTCCAGTTTGAATCTTACCTCAGCCATAAATTCTCTAGGTATTATTAAGCATTCAGCATTACCCTCCCTCCCTACAATATGGGAAGAATACTGATGTATTTCATGGGTCTTTGTAAGAATTGCTAAGATAATTTTTCAAGGTACTGTGAACACTAATGTTAAATCAATGTCATTCTATAGATCAGTTTTAAGCCGCTATTTAGCAGAGCATCAAAAATAAGAAAATATAAGGTAAACAATCACAGACAGCTCTATTCCCTTAATTCTGCTCTACTGTATGAGTTGTTCTGGCTGTTGTTGCTTTTTTAATGTACCTCTATCTTGATAGTGGACAGAAAGACAGGGAGAATGAAAACAATTCAGATTATTTGGAGAACAATGTTTTCTTCTTCTCAGTTATATTACTCAGAATATTCTCGTGTGGCAATTTAACAGGAAAAATGTATCAACTTGGTAAAGTGTTATCAGTTTCTTATCTTGAAAATAT